TAAAGATGGCAAAATTATTTCTCCAACTATGAGCTGTTCATACCTGTACTGAAATATGAGGTGAAATCATGTAGTACTAGTTTTATCACAACCACGACCACTACCACAACCATCCTGTTGTTCGTCGATTGCCTCGAGCCCCAGTAACGTCTCCTTCATCCTAGCCCTGAGATTTTTTTAAAAGTGCCATATTCAAGGCTCTTTCAGGGTTAGGAGAATGAGACTCATCATTGTTACTGGTATTTGGCATATTGGGTATGCCACGGGGAGTTTGTCAGACTCTGCGGTGTGGGCAGGTTACATTCGGTAGCCTGCCAGTTTGTCCAAAGTAGGAAGGAGATAATAAGATGTCGTGCAGCCGCGTGCTTCCGGGAGCTGGGTTTTATAGTCTCTGGGTCTTGGCCATTGTTTTATAATTCTGCATAATTCCCTAGAGATGCATGAGAGTCCTGTGTATCATAGATTCATTTGTTTTGATGGAAGTTATTCCATTCTGTTTTGCTTAATCATTCACTCATTGAAGAACATTTGAGGTTTTTATTTCAATTTGAACTTATGAATAATAAAACTGAGATAGTTATATAGGTAGCATTCTACCTGTGTATGTATATTTTCATTTCTGTGAGATAAATGTTCAAAATTACAACTGCTGATTGTATAAATGTTTATATTTATATTTTATTTTAAAGAAATTGCTAAAAGTTTTAGAATAGTTACATCATTTTATTTTCCCACTGGCAATCTGGCTTTCCAACATTCTTGCTAACAATATGACGATTATTTTGTATTTTAGACATTTTATCTACAGGTAGTAAGAATATGGTTTTAATTTGCATTTTCCAAATGACACCCAACATCTACTTCCACGTGCTTATTGTTTATATATTCACTTTGGTAAATGTCTGCTCAAATTCTTGTTTACTTTTATTTTACTGTTTTGTTCTTTACTGTCAACTTGTTTCTTATTGATATTTTTGGGGAGGGGTGGATTGGGACCACACCTGACTATGCTCATGGCTTACTCCTAGCTCTCTGCTCAGGGATCACTCCTGTATGTGCTCAGGTGACCATAGTAGTAGGAGCTGAGAATCAAATCTGGGAATCAACTTTGTCTGAGACAAGTGACTTACCTCTACACTATCCCCTTGAGCCCTTTCTGTTGAGTTTTTAAGTACTTTTTATCTATTCTGTATTTAAAAATACATGAACTATACATAAGAAAGCAAAATTGAACTTTATGATGAATTAATACTACTTTTTCTTATTGGCAGACCCAGCCAAAAGGATGCAAGGATAAATTTCAGACTGGAAAACAAATTTTCAAATCACATAGCCAGTCACGAATTTGTAACTGGTTTCAATGCTAGAGACTAAATATTTTCTTTGGTGCTTTTATGTAAAAGTTTACAGTTTTACATTTGAATTTTTTTATGTATTTTGTGTGAATTTTGGAAAATTTATCTTTTTATACCTTCAGAAATGTATCATTATTTAGTTTTGATGCATTAATGGGAAAGGTTTAGCTATGGATAGAATGAATTAGATTTCTAATACTCAATATTCTAATATTCAAAAATGATGCATTTTTTTCCCTCAGTGGAACACAAATTTAAAAGTATCAACTATCACATGAGGATGATAGAGGTTCCTATCATAGCAAATACTAAACTTGGTCAAAGAATAACTAGAAGATTATTTAAGTAAAGCATTATTCCTGTAATAGTCTACAGACTTTTGTTAATCCCTTTGATGATACAAACAAAGTATCAGCAGGGAAACTCATATAGCTGTTTGTGATTTAGAAAACAGTTCATTGATTTGCTCGAGCGGCCCAGTAACGTCTCCATTGGAGACTTTGTTGTTACTGTGTTAGGCTTATCAAATACATCACGGGTAGCTTGCCAGGCTCTGCTGTGCCGAAGAGATACTCTCGGTAGCTTGCCGGGCTCTCCAAGAGGGGCGGAGCAATCGAACTTGGGTCGGCATATTGGCTGCATGCAAGGCAAACGCCCTACCACTGTGCTATAGCTCCAGCTCTAGAAAACAGTATCTGAATTAATAATATAATAATAAGTCTTTCTTTTTAAGAAAAGTTGGCACAAATTAATACTTGAAAATATGAACTGTAACTATGCTTAACCAAAATTGATTCGGAACATTTAAACCTGACTCATAGTTTTGTACTCTAGAACACTGGTACATGAAAAAATCTGTCTCAATTTAAAGAGCTCTTTCAATAAGTACAAAATGAAAATTTCTAAATGACAAGGAAACATTATGTAATGGTTTGAAGAGCTTTCCTCCCTTAGTGCAACATTTTTTCTTCTAAATAAGTTTGAATATAATAAGTCCTGGTTAATTGTTATTTCTTCAGCTGCTTTTCTATAAGGCAAATCATTACCCATTCACACCCTGTCTGAAAAAGTACTCAAATGTTCCACTTTGATGAAGAAATCTAATCTTTATTTCTATGATGTTAGCACAATATACTCACACAATAGCTCTGATTTTTACTTAACAAAATACATTATAGCACTTTACAAACTTTGTCAGTTTGGAAAACATTGCATAACATTTTATTAAACACAATACTTTATATATATTATTTATATATATTCATAATTTTATTTACTTTAAAAAGATAATTAGATCTCTATATTCAATACTTGATTTCTTCAGTAAAGCACAGCCTAATAAAGGAAGAAGTGTTCTCATTAGCAAATAAGATCAATAGAACACTAAGAAGAGACACCATCTGTTAGTCTCATTCGTTTTAAATTAAGGTACTAGTGGAATGTAAACAAATCTTTTTTTGTATTTGTCTTTTTTACAAAAAGATGTGTTATCAAATATACATGCAGAGGTCTGAGTTCTAGCAACTATCGTAGTTCCTTAACAATGTGGTACAATTCATTAAGTCATTAAAAACTGTAGCCTTTGGCACTTTGAGTAGAAAAAGAATATCTCAATATTTATGTAAAGAAAAAAAATTTCCATGACTAGAGAAGTATTTTAAAATCTTTTGTTAGAAATAGGAAAGATTAGGAAATAACACACTGCACCTGAAATGTTGCAGCTTTTTTGTTCTTCAGAGTACTAAAACCAGTCCACCGGCCCTCGACACACTAGCAAATGCCAGCAGGAATGTTGTGATGGTGGTGGTGGTGGTGGTGGTGATGGTTGTAAGTGGGAAAGGCAACATTTAACTCCCACTTCCATCTCTGAGAAGGAAATTGCCCTCAGGGATATAGTTGAATCTGTATTTTATTGCCAGAGTTTTCAGTTCTGTTGGTTTCAGCTAAATCCCTAATGCTTTGGGAGATCGGTGACTCTAGAAAGCTCTGCCCTTTTACTGTCATTATGTGGTTCTCTTCGGCTCTAAATGCATTTTTTATTTTTCTTCTCATTTAAAACCTGAGAACCTGTCATCTAGTTTTATTTGTTCCCCTCGAACCCCTGGGCAATCATCAAGTTTATATTAGAATTATTAAGAAACAATGTAAAAAATGTTCAATACCAAACTCTAGGAACCAAATATTTCTTTGTATTTAAAATTTCCAGTTGGTAAACATTTCAAAATATTTTGTTTGTATCTTCTTATTATTGATAGTACTGGTTTCTTTTGATTTAGGCTGAAGGCTTTATTTAGGATAGGTAGCAAAAATTGGTGTTTGTATCTAAGCACTAAAATTGTGCCAGTTTAGATATTTTGAAGAAATACATTCTTAATTCATAATATTATGATACCTTTTCTTTATCAATATTCTTTTTTTTCCCGAATGTTTTCTGTTGGTGTCTAATAAAAACATTTTAGGGAAGAAGGTAATATCTAACCAGTGGCTCTAATTTGCTGGTTATCATGATATCAACATGTTAATAACAAGGACCAAGGAGAATTTTTGGATTTCTTGTTAAGATAGCAACCCAAGTCAGCTGATAAGAGACATCTGAGGGTAGACTTGACCAACATAGCTGGCAACATAACCTACAGTGTCAAGTTTTAGTTCAGATTTCTTATTTGTAAATTTACAGCGGTATATTTTGCTCAAGGAATGTCAACTATTATTTTGCTTTAGAAATAGAATAACTTATTTATAACATCAACATCTTTTTAAAAACAATAAATAAAATAGAAGCCACAAAATGCAAAATATGATCACAATAATTTCAAAAGATGCTCTTAAAACAATATGTAGTTATGTAAATCTACTCACTAAAAAAAGTCATCATTAGCAGTACCTATACGAAAATAAAAAATCAGAAAAAATATTCAGAACTTACTAGTTATTCTCTTTCACTGAAAATATTCTTACAATTTTTTTGTGGTAGAAAGCATAACTTTGAAAGAAATGCATGGAACCTTTTCATTCTTTTTGACTTTGACAGAGCCACTATGGAGAAGCTGCGGGGTGTCCTATTCTAACACAAAGGAGCCAGCCTCTTCGTAAAACAGTAGCATTTCTTTGACAAGGAATTGCACACCACTATTTCACAGCTAAATAGAATTTGAGAGCTTACATATTATATATACTATAATAATCAGCACCAGACACTTTGAACTTGAGGTGCAGATTTTGCAAAATGAATATATAATACTGCATGGCCTCTGCTGCACGGAAAACGTTTGTTCTGGTTTCCCACAGCTAATTATAAAGAAACATCCCTTACGTTGGCACATTCAGGAAACAATAGTATACATGGAAGGAAACCACTTTTTTTTTCTTTTTGATGATGTCTGAAGAAGTGTCTTCACATTATCACGTTAGGTTCTTGCATTGTGCTTTTCCTTCTCATTGTGAAATCAAGGAACTTGAATGTAAGTAGTCCTCAACAGTCAGTTAATTGGGGATCTGATGGTGGCTAAAATAGTCTGGTGAGAAGGTTTCCCGATCCACTGGATCAGAGCACAGGTAAAATCGACACTGATTTGCTGGGGGGCGGGGAGAGGGGCGGGGTGGTGTTGGGCGGGGCTGTCACCCAAACTACTGAATGGACATCTCTCAATCCTTGTAAGCCCGCGTGGGGGAGGTTCCTTTGTAGAAGATGTTTCGAGTGTTTTCCGGGCTGTTGCCTCGTTCGGGGATTAAGATGATGTTGCCCTTCCTGCGCAGGGTGGAGTCGCGGGAGGAAGACACGGACAGCGTCTCGGAGCCCATCTCGCTGCCCTCGACCGGCGTGACACGGATGGTGGTGATGCCGTGGTGGTGATGCTCGTTGCTGTCAATGTTGCTGCGCTTGCGGTCTCCGGACCCGAAACTGTCCTTCAGGGACTCGCAGCTCTCGGAGTCCCGGTTGAGATCGTTGAGCTCGTACGTCTGGCGCAGGCTGCTCTTCTCGGGCGCTTTCCACTTCCACGAGCCGCTGCCCTCGCCCTCGGTGGACGGGATCTGGATGATGGGCCTGTTGTTCTCTGGGTGCGCCTCGACCCTCACGATCCCGCTGGGCTCGTGGTCCGTCAGGGTTTTGTAGCGGATGGAGCCGGTGCAGGAGACGGAGCTGCCCTCCGTGTTCTTGGGGCTGCTCTGCAGGACACCCTGCTGCTTGGACATTGCGATCACCTGCATGATCCGGGGCTGGCTGTTGCCTCGGTTACACGCTACAGTCTTCTCCGCGGCTTTCAACCACTTGGCGCGAGCAGAGCTGCTTTTGGGGGAGGTGCTGATGTTTTCCTGGGTCTCCTCGGGGATGTGCACCAACTGCGAGGATCCTGGGCGGGACTGAATGGACACTCGGGGGCCACCGGGCATGCTGTTGTTGCACCCGGGGACACTGCCGGGCTGGATCTTGAGGTACTGATTGCCAGGACCGTGGTGGTCTCCGTTGACTCCCACTCTCGACGGCTCTGAGCTTGACCTCATCTCGATGGACCTGGGTGGGGACTGTCCCTGCTCCGTCTCTATGACTTGCAGGGACAGCTTCCGGCTTTCATTCTTATTCTTCCACTGGGTGAGGAGCTGCTTGGACCTTGCCGAATCCATCGAGGCATGGATGGAGGCGTTTCTCCGGACTGGGTCTTCTACAGATGGGGTGTTGGCTCTCGGGAGGGTATTGCTAAAGGTGACCATGTTCTCCTTCCCCATGGGGCTCCGTGGGGTGATGATTTCAACGTCAGCATTGGCTCTTTTGAGGTTGGTCAAGGAGCTAGCATCTCTGGGGTTGCGATTGAGGATGCCTTCGGTGTGAGCAATTCCATCACTGCCACTACCACTTTTGGCAGCTAAAACTCGGTTGGGGTCTTGATTGGGGTCGGTCAGAGATCGAAGGGCTTCTCTGTGCTGAAACATACTCTCTTCGCTAGGAAGAAAGTTCCCCACGGCATACAGACCCTAGTGTTGAAGAGAAACAACATCAAGCACCAAGAGACAGTCAGTGTCCCTACAGAAGTATGTAAAAAAAAAAAAAACCCATGGACTCCATACACATCACCAACACCACAAATAACCAAGAAGTAAACTGAGAATTACTCAGGAAATAGTTTCTAAGTGAAAGAAAGCATGAACCAATAAACACAGAGTAGATTATTAATTATTATTAGTTGGGTTTTCCTTTCCTTTCTCCAGTGGACAGGATAATTTTGAGACTCTCATCCTCTACATCTTTTGCACAACTAAATGTTGTCACCTTGGTATACTCATTTTTTCCCTCTGATTTCAATTTGATCATAGGTCTGTACTTGTACACTAAATTCGTAGTTCTGCAGTAGTACACAGTTTGAAGTTTTATTGAATTCTGTGTTTAGACACAGCATATAAAGTTTTGTTTTCAGACAGATAAGCATTTACATAAGGCCAAAGCTCTGATGAAGAAGTTTTACCCTTTTTGAACATATAACATCTAATCCCTGCTGGATTTTCTGTTTGGGGGATGTGCAAACAGCAGATACTTATTGGTTAACTTCAGTAGCACTGTAGCACTGTCCTGTAGCACTGTCCTCCTGTTCATCAATTTGATTTGCTCGAGCAGGCACCAGTAACGTCTCCATTGTGAGACTTGTTGTTACTGTTTTTGGCATATCGAATACGTCATGGGGAGCTTGGCAGGCTCTGCTGTGCGGGCAGGACGCTCTTGGTAGTTTGTTGGCTCTCTGAGAGGGGCGGAGGAATTGAACCTGGGTCAGCTGATGCAAGGCAAATGCCCTAACCGCTGTGCTATTGCTCCAGGCACATTTTAATTTCAGTAGATAGGACTTGATGTCTACTTTTAAGTAGATATTAAAGTAGACATACTTTTAAGTTCAGTAGGTGGAACTTAATGTCTACTTTTAAGATCTAACCATAAGAATCCATAGATTTGCCATTTTATAGAGTTTAACATGAATAAACAGCATTGGCTGTGAACTGATTACTTTCCAATTTCACATCATAGAATGTAAACAGAAATAGAATGAACTCGTTTCTGACTCCCCAATTACTTAATCCCTTGTTCAAAACTTCTTCTAAATTATATGTATCTAAACTCGGTTGCCGCATCTCCGGGATTAACAGTCCTAATCAAATGTTATGTTAAAATTGTACTTAAAGGTATTAATTTAGAAAAATCTTCCAGTACTTTACTCCTTTACTCTACAAATAAGTTCCGCTTGAATTTTTCAACATTCAGGACCAAGTACTGTGCTTCAAAAACACAGTTGTTTAGTTTTTATTCTGATATAAGGTAGAGAGTTACTACTTTGTATTCTATGTGAAAATATAGATTTCTGAGAGGACACATAATTTGCTAAGCAACAGAAGACTTGAAAAGTCATGGTACTTTTGATTATGGCTCCCAGACCCCATGCAAGTTCCAGGATGTCAAGAATGGATACTGTAAGGCAATGGTAGGCAGTTCTCACTCTCTACACATGTGCACATGTGTGTAGGGTGCTCCCAAGTTTGCTTAAGAGGTTCTGGGTCCCGAGGGCAATTCTGGGCCAGGTCAAGCTGGCAGGAGGTTCAATGCAAGGGCCTGAGACTGAGATGATGCACAGCCCTGAGATGCCAGTGGTGCCCAGGCCACCCTAATGGTGCTGGAGGCCTTCAGGGTTGCATCTTGTGATGCTCGGAGGACCATTTGGTGCCAGGAATTGAATGTGGGTAGGGCTCATGCTGTTGTATTATCTTTTGAATGCTTTTATATTCTTTAACAGACACTGATGATTCATCCATAGTTAATTCAATTCTATGAACATTTCTTAGTGCACAAACTTTATCAATTTCTGTCCCCACTATAGGAAGTAGTGGAGCATGAGATTTGATGTAATAATATTTACTATGCTAATTTTGAAAACAGAAAAGGAATCATTGCTCAATACTTCTAAACTTGTATTATATTATCTTCTAATCCATTTTCTTGCGATGCCTTTCACAGTGGACTCAGACCACATGGTTGAGAATTGTTGCTATAGAAGAACTAATTTTTCTGTCAGTTCATCTCAGTTTTCTGCATATTCTCTCTTCCTCTGCATGCTGGTATATTGGTATTCCTTGATTTCTTCAGTTCTTTTGAATTGGCAGTTTTATATATCTTCAAACATAATAGCATGAATACAAGTAAGTCCATCATTTCCAAATCTATTTCTGATTGCTCTTTGAACTCCAGATTCAACTACTCAACTGCTTCTTGACACTTAAACCTAGCTTGTCAATCCACTTTCCTTTGCAACCTGCTTCATCCCATCATTTGGATGGCCTGCCAATGCACATAGCATCTGCCCAGTCTTCAAGTAAGAAATCCAGACATTTTCTCTTATACCTCCTGTTCCCTCAGCCCCACTTACATTGCTTTTTTAAAATCTCATGTTTATCTTTGAAATATTTCTGAAAAATGTGCATTTTCTTATGCTCAAATGAACTTCCTTCTTTCTTCACACCAAGAAACTCTCATGTTTTAAAATATACAACACTTCTACAAAGGCTTATTTAATTGAACTTTTTTTTCCTACAAGCACTTCATCCATATCCTGTTATATCAGTTAATACATTATAACCACTTATATTAGTATTTAATCTGTAAACTACTTGAGGATGTGTCTTATTCTCAATGTTATAATACTCAAGATAACAATGCCATAATTTGTTGAATCAATGTAAAAATAATGGGTACATGCATGAGTTAATGAGATGGATATTTTCAGTTTCTTTTGCAGAAGCTATTTTCTTTGAAAGAAAATCAAGCCTGAAAACAGAGTACTTGTAAATAATTCAGGATTAGTAGATGATAGTTATGTTCTGTTACTATTGTTTTTTGTTGTCTATGTTATATAATAGTCTACAAAACTTTCACTTTCACTAATTTTACTTCTACTAATAATATTCATTTTCCTCTTCTATAAAGCTGTACTAAAAGTATCAGTGGCTTTTTTGGGTGGGAAGGAGTTTAAAGATAAAATACTTTAATCCTTCTAAAATATCAGTTTTTCATCCATGATAAAAATTAAATTTACATACACACATATATTTACACACTCATATGCCTTTTGGAAGTGGGATACCTGTTTTGGCTAAGATTAGTGATGCAATTAGAATATGACTAAATTATAGAATGAAATAGCATGTTTTTCTATATTAAGCATTATCAAGTAATAACAACAATAATCATAGACTGTTTACCAAGTACAGAGCAATTCCTCCTCCTATTAAAAAGCCACAATAGACATCCACTGGGTGGTTCTTATACTGAGTTATTCGTGTTAGCCCACAGATAATTCCACAGATGATAAATGTGAAGACCAAGAGAGGCTTCAGAAGCTTAGAAGAATCCGTTAATGTGGAATTGAAGTACATCTTAAAAATGAAAAACAAAGGGTAAGTACGTTAGCAAGGTCATCCTATTATGTTATAAGCAAGTTAAACTCAAAATCCTAATGATTGTTACACTTGACATCATACCCAAGCCATTATTATGTTTTATACTTGACAAAAAGAAACTGTATGATCAAATGCTTTAAGCAAGTCAGACATCTCATTTATCTACATGGAAGTTTGAAAAGAAAAGTCTGATCAGTTCAGTGAGCAGGGTAACTATTTGGTATATATAACTATAATTGTTAAATAATTTGTTTCTTTTTTTCACATAAGATGTCACTCATGGCTATAGTAGTAAATATAATGTGATGATTCATTAGCAATTATCACATTTACTCTATGAAGTGACATGAATACAGAGCACTTAAAAATAAAAGGTGTGTACTTTTAATGCAATTCTTGTTTATATCATTCACTTTGTAGTTTACAGTACTTTTCATGAAGTATAATATTGTATTATGTAGATAACAAGATTTTTGACTATATAGAAAAATTATTGAAATATTCTTTATAGTAGCATCCCATTTCTTCTTTTCATGCCATTGTGTGCAAGGTTTGCTGGAATAACATTTACTTTTTATTACTGCATGGTTGGATACCATAATTAGACACCTGAGGAGAGCATCGATTCTCTGCTTTTCTGGCAGTTTGGCTTAAAGACCAAGTTACTTACCGACACATATACAGCCGCAAAGGCAGCGAGAGTTGCATGTTGAGAAGGGAATGATTTTCTGTCAAAGAAAAAGTCAAATTATTCTTTCTGTTCAGAAACACTGTTAACAACTCTATCAAGTACATAGGGTGGTTAAAATGTTCAACTTCACAGCCACAAGACAACCAATAATAACTTTAATTTGTTTAGTTTTCTGGATAAAGAGCTGGATACAGTAATCACTGCTGATCTTCATTAATATTTACATTAGTTAATAAATGTGATACAGTTTTCATATAAAACCCTAGCTCTATAAGGAATTACTTTGTTACACCTCTGGATTGACAACTGATAAAAAATGGATTAGAAAACATTATAGTTGTTATTTGATATAAGAATCTATAATTTAAAACTAAAATTTAATAAAGCCTGGAATTTTAAAGCTTTAAGATTTTTTTCTTAAAAAAATGTTCTTAAGTATATGGTTTCAATTTCAGAAAAATCTAAGATGCAATTATGTTTTCACAGAAGTGGGTTCAAGTTTATTCTTATACTTTAAAAACCCCCTGAAAAATTTAATGAACTGTATCTTTGTATATTCCACTTTGAACTAATTATCATCTTGAGGCTCAGAGAGGTGAGAGAGTTTGAGAGAGGCTAAACAGAGAAGAGTGGGGGCAATTCTAAAAGTATGACAGAATAAAGGAGAACTTTTCTTAAGTGAGTAAAATAAAAATAAAGAAGAGAAAAAAAATTCAGAATATGACTCAGCAATAGGGTCATGCTTTACTTTCCATGAGGCTCTAGGTTCTATCCCATCAACACATACACACAGAGCATAGAAAAAATAAAATTCAGTTCTATTGCTATCCTCCTAGTTATTTTATACCCAGCAAAAAAGATTACCATTCAATTAAATATAAAAGCGGGAGGAAAAATGAGGATCTATAGGATGTAGACCTTAGTAATAATTTTTTGTTATTCTTCTGTAATTTATTTATTGGACATTATATTTCTTGAAATTCTTGGACATTATATTTCTTCATACAGGTTTGTTTATATTGATTGAAAAAAGGCTGCCTTGGGTATTTATTTATTTATTTTACTTTTTCTGTTTCTTAGTTCAGTTATGGATTATACAGGGTACATACATGAAGTGCCAGATAATATTCTTTAAAAAAAATCTATAGGGCTGGAGTAATACTGCAGCAGGTAGGATGCTTGCCTTGCACGGGGTCAGACTGGATTTGGTTCCTGGTACCACATATGGTCCCAGAGCCCCCCTGAGTACCACTGGGTGTGACCCCAAAACAAAAACAAAAATCTATCAAAAGGGGATCAAAGAGATAAATCTAAGGTCTAGAATATGTGCTTTGCACATGACTTGGGAGTAACTCCTAGAAATGCTTGAGGCCCCATGTAGTGGCAAACAATGTGCATGTCTCTGAAGTACAGCCAGGTGTTCTCCTTGCCTCCCTGCCCCTGCCCCCACAATAAACAAGTTTATTGAAAGGGGAAGGGCTGGAGCGATAGCCCAGCAGGTAGGGCGTTTGCCTTGCATGCAGCGGACCCGAGTTCGATTTCTTTGCCCCTCTCAGAGAGCCAGGAAAGCTACTGAGAGTATCTCACTCGAGGCAAGGCCTGGCAAGCTACCCATGACGTATTCGATATGCCAAACACAGTAACAACAAGTCTCACAATGGAGACGTCACTGGGCCCGCTCGAGCAAATCTCGACAGGAGGACAGTGCTACTGAAAGGAAAATTCACATTTTCCAACAAGCATATAATGAAATGGAAATATCATATATGTTTTAATGTTCCACTTAAGTCACTACAAGATGCGTAATGATAATAAACATTGAGGGATTAAATGAGATAAAAACAAAAAGCAAAAATGCAGCCTGATGATACAAAGATAAAATGTTAGGCTGAAAGTTGGAGACAGAGAGAAGGATCAGGAATGAGCTATAAATGAACTCCTATGCTATAATCACAAAAGAGATTGCTGATTTGAAAAGATCAGTTACAAAATTTTTGTAACTATGATACCCATAGCTATTACTAAGCAATGAAAATACGGACATAGGAGCTTTTAAATATAAATCTCTAACCTGCCACTATTAATAACAGTGAGATCAGATCCTGAGCAAATATCTTCCACAATGTAGGAATTTTCTTTGCAAGATACATTCAGAGAAGTATAGTTTGGTTTACACACTGTAAGAAAGTATGGGGCCTGATAGCCTGTGGACAGCTGGATGATATCTGTAATGAGAGCTGTAGAACATAGCCCGAAAACATGTACTCCTAGAAGTAAAAAGAAAGTGTTATCGAGTTAGTGCCAAAAGCTTAAGTCATGTCATCATCAATCATGTTTATTGTACATTATTATAACAATTTGTTGTGATCATTTTTTTGGAGTTTATTTTGAGAATATGGAACATAAATCCCTAAACTTCTAAACAGATAATTTATGTCAAAATAAAGTCACTGATTATATTCATAGCAGTTCTTTTGTGTCATTTTGTAAGTTGAGTTGCAAAAGGGACAATTTTTGATATGAATAACCAAAGGTACTTGTCAGATATCTAATATGTTAAAATGACAAGCTTATGACTTTTTAAAGCATAAAAATGTGGAGATTGAAAAACCTTCGAGTTGCAAGACTGGAAGCAGTTTAAAATTAAATTAAAAAATATTTAAAAGTTTGAGTATTCTTAAAATATTAAGAATATTTAGTTAGCTTGCTTCAACTTCCAGAGGTTTTTCTTTCTTGCAGATTCCAACTCTAGCCATAGTTACCAAAATACTACAAAATTAGTTTTAATTCACTCCAAGCTGTAGTGTTACAGGAATGCAAATTAAAATATAGAGAGCACAAACAGATCCTATTATGGAAATAATAATATCTTGGGTCAAGGACTGTGGCACCTTCTTGCATGTCTGCAAATAGACTTTAAAAAATTATTTCAAATCCATCACTTTCTTTGTCACCTGGGCTGGCCTTAAAGCCACCAATTCACAAATCTTGCCTGTATGGGCACTCAGATTCCATCTCTGCTCTCAGTGACTAGCCTTGGGAGTCTAACTCTCCTCACTTCATCATCTCTAAGGAGCCTATGCCCTCTTTGTCAACATCCAGGATCACACTTATGTTCACATTCATGATTTTCTCAGAGAAACCTCTGTGAGAGGTACCACGGTTAATCCTTGAGTGGATTCTTCTAGTCCAAGGTTATAGGCTTGCAAATGACCCTGGTTTGCACATTCCTTCACTGCTTGTTATCACACAATCAGAGAATCTCAATTCCTTCTCCACTCACTCACTTGAAATTCAGAGCACACAGCCTTTATTTCTAATATCTAACAACTGCAAGCTGTTGGAGAGGAATATGGCCAGGCAGAGAAGCCCAGCCCTTATTTCTGCTGCCAGATGGGACTCCCACAGAAGATGGGGCCTCTAGCTCTGCACCACCCTCAGTCAGGCATTTCAACTTGATTAAGTGCCGCGTTATCTATAATTTTTTGTTTGGTATATATCTGATGACGTATACACCTTATTTCTTTCTTTCTTTATTTATTGCTTTTAGTTTCCTTTATTTGTGATTTAGCCTATTCTTATGTTGCTTAGAGGAGTCAAGTCTAAAGTACAATTTAAGATATATGGGTTTTTTTTCTATAGGGAGCAAAAATTGAATTTAAACATCTGTTAGACTCTAAATGAAATGATATCTTCCTTTGAGTTGAAAGGTTCCAGGTAAAATTAACCTGTTACTGATATTGATAATGAACATAAAACAATCCCATTGATATGATATAATGTGAGTTGATTACTCAACTCAGATAAAGACCTCTGACTTGAAATTGTCCCTGTGCTAATCACAGGAAATGCATGAACTTGATTCAGATGCTTGGCAGCCATGTTTATGGATTCTCCTTAGATCTCATATGAATAGAAGGTGATGGCAGAGGATGTCATCAAGGACAAATAGTCATGACACCGCACTCTATGGTGACATTTTCATACATAATAATTTCTGGACAAAAGCACCTCAGAAGAGTTGAAATGGAGTCACCAATGTGGCAAAAGTAATTTCTGAAAGTTATTCATTCATTCTTGGCTTGCTGACATTTGTTCTCTATTTAAAAAATGACCATGGATCCACGGAAACCATTTTAAAGTAAATATATGTTTCAACCAGAGCTAGGACAAAAAATATACTGAAAAATATTTGCCTCCAGTCTCAAAACAAGGAGTCTAACAGTAAATAACACATTTCATATAAAAAATGCAAAATTTTGATGTTTTCACAATTTTTGTATTGTGTAAAATTCATCATGTACCCAAAATTATACCTCTAAGCTATAGCTTTTAGAACTTACTATCTGTAATTAAATATAACCTTTCTACTTAAAAAATCCTTTCTTTGTGCCTCCCCACACCCACCAACGAATCTGACAGCTCTTCTAAGAAAAGAGTTGAAGTTGCAGCCTCCAGCATTAATGTTGGGCTCCAGTCCAACCCCGTTTCTTCTTTTGGATAGGCAACAGTAGAGAATTCCTTCCCCTACCATAATCTGCAAAAAAAAAAAAAGATAGAGATAGAGAGGTTCAGAAAGTGGATTCAACGGTATAAGTGAATAATTTATCTCATAACATATCATCAGTTTTGCAAAGGTGAAGAAATTGCTATTGTTAAAACATTCTAAGCTATGAGCAATATATCCTGAGCATTTGAAGGAGCAGAGAGCTAGGGCAATCAGGGCACCTCAAAGACCATTACTTGTTTTGTACTCCTAACATATTAGTTAAGAGTGCGACAGCATCCTGGTGTTTCAATGTGGTTAAGACACATGGTCCCTTTCTTTAATCACACCCACTAACACCTAATTGAGTAATCACATGTTTACTGATTGACTCTAATTTTTATCCTTAAAACCAGGAAAACATAATGTTTGGGGGAATAAAATGTTCCAGTGTTAAAATCAGAAACATTTAGTAGATTGTTTTAATAAACTGCCTTGGGGATTGAACAGAAGGATCAGTTTATAAAAGGAATGCATAAGGGTAGAAAAGTTCTAATTCAAAACAGCCGTTCCCCCCAAACATATTAAAATTCAGTTTTATCTAAAAAAATTCTGCATTCACCAATATATTTTACAGAAACCCATAACGCAGCCAACACACACCTGCAATTATTGAATTTTTTTCTATTTAGTTACTGAAATTGAGGTGCTAAGGGGAATTTGCTTGTTTGTTCTAGTTTTATGGCCACACTTAGCTGTGTTTTGGACTTACTCCTGGCTTTCTGTTTAGGATCCTCTTGGTGGACTCAGGAGATCATATGGGATACTGGGGATTGAACCAAGTTCTGCCTGGTGAGGCCAAATTGCCCTACCCATCTATACTCTCTCTCTGCCTCTGAGGATCTAAGTTTTAAATTTCATTTCCTTATATTTAATTATTTAAATTTTAAATTAATCTGTATTTTAAATGAAATAGTCATAGATGGCTAATACTCTCTGGAGAGTACAGATTATAAAAGAATATAAAAATAAACAGAGTAGTATTTTCTACATATGATATATTTAGAAAATGTGTTTACACTGAACCAAATCCAATACTCTAGTATCAGAAGAATTATTTTAAGACAAAGAAGAGTACATTTGCTGTGGTATTTCAGAACGTAAGACATAAGTGAGAGAACTCAATATATTTTTGGCATCATTTTCTTCAAGAAAATTTTCATGTAACTCCTTTCTATACCTTAAACTGAATTCTATCTGCTTTTATATTCCCTAGCAACTCACTCTTTTCTCTAGTATAGCTTTTAGAGGACACCAATTTTTGTTTGTTTATCTCTCACTAGACTGGAATCTTCTGAAGGTAGAACCATTTCTTATTTATCTTTTATCTGCACTGACAAGCATATTGAGCACTGCAGAATCTGCACTGGCTACCTTCACTATGACATTTCCCTGGGCTAACTTTTCTAGGCATGTGGGTTTAGATATATTCGGTTGTTCTGAATAAGAAAAGCAAAAATTTAAATTGAGTTTTATTTATAAAATATATTCAAATATTTGGGGGCACGAGAGATTTTATAGTGAGTTGGGCATTTGCCTTGCATGTGGCTGGCCAGGGTTTGATCCCTCAGCATCACGTATTTCCACCAGGAGTGACTCCCAAACCGAGAGTCAAGATTAAGCTCCGAGCACAACCAAGTATGGCTCAAAACCAAAATCAATGAAAATATTTGGGGTTATAATACCTAAGATATTATTGTGAAATCAGAATTTGAATCTCTGTAGTGTGAAATATGGAGTTACATAAGACGCATTTACGTGACATCATGCCACTTTAACATAACACTAATCCAAGTTTAAGGCCTGAAAGCAGATTTCTGAGAGAAACTTCCAAGTTTCCATGACTTGTTTGATATCTACTTTATAAAATATTGAAACCAGTTTGTTTTTGTCAGTGTGTAGGGACACACTGCAATCCATGCTTGGAGTGCTGAGGAGATAATCTAGGAGATACTTGCCAATGAAGCCATATGGCTTGAATAATGGGCGTCTAAGATGTGACTGAGCTGCTAGGGACTATCAGGACCATACCTGTGTAGTGCTTAATTTAAAGCTGCAGGGCTATACCCAGTGGTTCTGGCACTAGGCATTGCTGGGGTCTGAGCTTTGGTGCTGGTCCCTGATTTTGAGGAAAAAAAAACTGACATCATTTTGATGAACTTCTGCTTTGAATCTTCAGTCTGCCTCATGTCTTTCTTGATGGTGTTTGTGTAACTTTAAACAGTCTTTTATAACAGTTGGGGAAAGTTTTGGGTCAGAAAGGCAGTGCTCAGATCTTACTCCTTGCCTCAGTGATCAGGAGTCACTCCTTGTGTGTTCTGGGGACCATATGTGGTGCTGAGCATCAAACCTGGATTAGCTGTACTATCTGTACTATCTCTGCACTATCTCGCCAGGTCTAAAAAAATCTTAATTTGTATGCAAGTATTTTTAATGGAACTCTACCTATGATCATACATGCATAAAAGTAAAGCAGCACATGTAATATACTCCTTTTAGATCAAAAAAAGAAAAATGGCAAAATGAATTTTTGAAATTATTATACATTGACTTTGTTAACGCTGCCATATTGGTAGCTCTTTCAGGGTCAGGAGAATGGGATCCATTGTATTTACTGGTTTTGGCATATCGAATACACGGGTAGCTTCCCAGGCTCTGCCGTGTGGGCAAAACACTCTCAGTAGCTTGCCAGGTTCTCCGAGAGGGATAGAGGCTTTTAGGGCGGCCTCTAATTGCCCTGACAGGTGTTCCCATGCTTCAAACCATATTTCAGTGCATTCAAGAACGTCATGAACTTGAGAATGTCATGTGACGACTGCAATGGGAAGGAATGGGAGTGAAGATAGAAGGTCGGCAACTACACAACCTGCGCTTTGCTGATGACATCGTTCTTATAACCCCAAACATCAGTCAAGCAGCACAAATGCTAGCCGACTTCGACTGTGAGTGTGGAAGGGTCGGTCTACAGCTGAATCTAACAAAGACAATGTTTATGAAAAATGTCTTGTTCCTGACGTTCCATTCACTCTCAATGGGATGAACATCTCCGAATGCAACAGTTATGTGTACCTAGGTCGAGAAGTCAACATGACAAATAACCTGGCACCTGAGTTGCACAAGAGGAAGAGAGCGGCTTGGAATGCCTTCAAGAACATCGAAGAAATAGCTAAGAGGATGAGAACCTCCGGCTCCGGGTACATCTCATCCATTCCACTGTTCTTCCTGCATTAACGTATGCCTCAGAGACCTGGGCCTATGAAAATAGGATGAGAACACTATTCAGGTCTCCCAAAGAGGAATCGAAAGAGCTATGCTTGGAGTATCACGCTTCACTCAAATGAGAGAAAGAATCTGGAGTTCCCACCTTCATCGATGATCAAGAATCAGGGACACTGTCTCATTTGCCAAAGTGTTGAAAATCAGATGGGCTGGATACGTAATGAGATTTGGAAATGACCACTGGACTAGAGCCATTACCGACTGGATTCCACGGGATATCAAAAGATCATGTGGCCGCCCACTTATGAGATGGTGAGACTTCTTCTTCAAGCTCCTGAATGATCAATTTGAGGCTCTTTGTGTTTCTTACCACTGGGCTACATTAGCACACGACAGGGATGAATGGAGACTTTGCTGGCACCCACTCGAGCGAATCGATGGATAATGGGATGTAAAGTGATCAAGTGATTATACATTGACTTAATTATTTCATGCAATATAATGCTACACTATTACTTTAAGTTAGACATGGAAACAATTGGTTCTATATTCTACACAGATAAATGCTACCTGATCTACCACACATACAGAATAAAATAATAGTTATGACGAATTCATCATTTCAAAAAAATTGACCACTTGTTCCTGAAGTATTGTAATATGATTAAAATAGAATGGTTTTATAGTCATAACTTTCATCTTATTTCTGTGAAAATTTTTGTTGTTCTTTCCAATTACATTTATTATTCTTGTCCATGAATGATAAATCATAAGAAGTTACTAATCCAGTGCTACTAGGGAAATGTACCTATCTGCAGCACAAACATCATTATCTCAAATGACCTTTAGATTTTAGTTTTTCTTAGTTAAATATTCTCAAAACATATTAAGGGAGACCTTCCCAGCATTGACTTGATTGTGTGACATGAACAGAAATTTTCTATAAATATTTTGACAGCATCTAACTTTCCCTGTTTCTAAGAAACACATCAATTCTTCTCCTGTATCACTGCTTCAGTTAATCTTGATCTATAAGTCAGCCCATAGATGTTTGAAAATGTTATATTAGATTTTAAGATAGAATTCTCCTCAGTTAAAAGGAAGTCATTATCTTATATATTTTCATTATTCCTATTTCTTTCCTTGATCTGGACTGCCTATTACCATGTTGTGATATTAGTTTCAGAGTTCAGTTCTCCATATAGAATTGTGTTGTTACTGTCATTTGTAAATAGGAAACTATTTACGAGATGTATATTTTTAAAGTATTCAGATTATCTCATACACAGCTAGAAAAACAATTATTTTTCATGTCAAATATCATAACAGATTTTTTGTTATTTTTTTTAAGAATTCTGCAGTGACTTTTACAGGGGAGATGTAGACAGGAAAAAAAATGCTTATTTTTACAAGGACACTGACTTTAGAATAGTCTCCAGAAGGATAACTCACAATCCAAAATGTTTTATAAAAACAACAGAACAAAAAAATGTAACTTTCACAATAGTATCTTCAGTGTTTTCATTTTCAGTTAATGTTTTTGTAAATCCTAAAACAATTAAATATTCTATATTTTGACCACATGGTGTTCTAAAACTAAAGTTGTGTTTTAGGAACTACAGTTTTTTAAAAGCATTCTTCTATAAAATACTTGTATTTTCGTGTCAATTTTTATGAAGTTTTTTTTTGTTCTTTTTTTTTTTTTGCTTTTTGGGTCACACCCGGCGATGCACAGGGGTTACTCCTGGTTCACGCACTCAAGTATCACTCCTGGCGATGGGGACCATATGGGATGCCGGGAATCAAACCTGGATGCAAGGCAAACACCCTACCTGCTGTGCTGTCACTCCAGGCCCTAAAGATTTATTTTAAACCCTGTTATTTTCTCTGAAAAATAATCTCCAAAGAACTGAACAAAATGTTTTCTTATTGCTTTTAAAAATAAAAATTTAATGTTAAGGATGAAAATATGCAATCTAAGAGATGATGTCTCTCTAGTTATAGAGAGAATAAGATAGATATTTCATAGATAAAAATAATTTTCACAAAAATAAAAACATAAAATAAGTAAATAAGAGATGAAACAAACTTCAGTTTCAAATATAATATCAACAAATTATTTTAAAAATATCCCTCAGACTATTTTAGGGAAACATAAATCGGCCACTCCAAATATGTCTTTGGTAAATGGTTACTAATTGGATGGGGACTCTGGAAGTAGATTGGAGATCACCTTTGAGAAACAAATTTATTTATTTATTCAAATCTTTATTTTTATTAAAAATGGTGATTTATAAAGTTGTTCATTTATAGTTCTTTCAGGCATTTAGTGTTTGCCTGACCTGTTTCTGAGGAACCCAGAAGGGTGCAGGATGATTTATTTTGTATTTGACAGCATAACACAGAATCTGTGAAGTAACCACTAAATAATTCATATAAGTCCTTTTATTAAATAAATTGGTGGGCTTTTGTTCAAAAAAACACCATGTAAAGTCTGTTGGTGGAAGGAGATCTTGTTTTGCTTTGTCTTCTCTCTAGATGAATGAAAACAGGGAGATTTTTTTTTTTCTCTCATACAAGTGAAATCTAGAAACTATTTCCAAATATAAGTTCTCTAAATTTTTATCTTAGTGTGTGCCTTGCCCCCACTCCACCTGGAGCAGACTTATAACACCACGAAGACAAAAAGAACAGGGTCAGGAGACAGTACAGTGGTTTGATCCCAGTACGACAAGGATGGCCTACTGAGCAAGGCTGCAGGGGCTTTAGAAGTTTCCCCATTCTTCCTGAATGGCACTTGGACGACTCCCCAAAGAGAATATAGAAGAAAAGAAAGAAAAGAAACAGAACATTCTTGGGAGTCAGGTATCAGACTGTTATTTTTATTTTTATAAAACGTTAAAAAAAGGTTAGAGTAATAATGTGACTAGAATGCAGCTGGAATTATGATTCTAAAACAAGGCAACTACAGACAGTATAGGATCAACATTGAGAAAAATGTATGTTTGAGAAGAAGGCCTTAAAAACAAGAAGGGATTAGTTGGTAACTAGGCCTTTGGTGCTAAGTGTGGGGTAGTACATATGCTTGTGATGGTGTGAAGCTGTCACTCCTAGTACTTACAAATTGTTGTAAACCGATGCTACCTCAATAGTAATAATAATAACAATAATGTTTAAAAAATAAAGAAAATCTTTGAAGAGAAGTGTGCCATGCAGTATGCTGTTAGCTGTTACTTATTTACCTTAAACCTAGGAAATCAAGGAAAGAATCGCTGATCTCATAAGTGTCCTGGAGCTTTAAGTGATATGGAGGAAATTAGAAACCCCAGGTTATGCTTATCTAGTTTGTCTTTTGGCATGCAGGAAGTAGGGAGGCCCTGTAGAGACAAAGGAATTAAGTGATGCCTTTGTGGTAGGTGTTGGCTGGCTCCCAGATAAAATGGGTCGAATTGGACTCTAAGGAAATTTTGTTCTTTCATTTTTAAGTGCTCAAGAAAGCAGCTTTAGATATTGCATATTAAAAACTTATTGTGGGAAATTATAGAAATAGGACATAGTGATGAGGCCAAGGTTACTGTCCCAGGACATGTAAACAGTGTCAGCAAAGGGGACACTTGTCAGAAATGATGCTTGAAAAAGTGCCAGTTAGACTGCCTCTCCTAGCAACTTAGTAAAATGCCCTAAGGAAGAAAAATTTCTGGCTATCTATCTATCTATCTATTATCTATCTATCTATCTATCTATCTATCATTTATCTATATGTTACGCATAGATAAAAATAAATGATGAAATGTCAACATATTTTCAGAAGTCATAAACATTTCTACATTATTTCATGCATTTTATTTAAAGTATAAAATTATGAATTGGGATTATTATACTCCAATTAGGAGTATTACTTTTGGTAAAATCTATTTAAGAATTTATTCTTTCTTCTTTTGTCAAGTAGCTGTGTGATATAGGTTTTGTTATGTCTTTGGATAAATGACAGAAAAATGCCACTATTGTAAGTAATATTGCACTTTAAAAGTGTTACTTTGAGTCCGTTTCAAGTATGTCATTAAGTTACAATCACCCTGGGTAATTCCAATAGTTCATAGTTCAAATGACTCACTAATAAAAAAATTGTTTTTGACTTTTGGGCTATATACAGGTGTGCTCAGGGTTTACTTCTGGTTCCGTGCTCAGGGATCATTCACGGCAGGGCTCAGGGGATTGAAAATGAGTTGGCCACGTGCAAGGCTACTAGTACTAGTACTGCTGTACTAGACCCCTACTGAATTAGCCCCTTCTCCTGACTCGTTAATGTTTAAAGTATCTGTAGAATTTTATTAAAGTCTGATAAAATTCTACAAAAATTAACTATACATTTATTTTTCAAAAATACTTTATATAATTGTAGTGTAAGTATTTGATATATACAAAGTTTACGAAAACACAAATTCATGCCATGTAAACATATGGAGTTTAGAAGGTATCTTCAGAGTCTTTTCTAAAACACCTAATATTTTAGATAAGAATAGGCCAATTAGGTAATCTTGTAAAAACCATTTAAAACACCTTTTTATTTGACAGCTACATTTTCTAACATTCATGAGCATTCAGAAACAAAGTAAGAGTTCCTATTGAACTCTGAAATAAATATTATTATACCTATAAAATGTTTTTGGTTCTTAAAGTAGGATTCTGGGAGTAGATATTGTGGAAGGGCTCAACTAGTCTTATCTATTAATTAGTCTTAGTTTGTTGTTAAAAATGTACAATTTAGCAAACTAAAAGCAACTATATTTTTAATTGAATTCCAGAGAATTTCTGTTACAGATTTTACATTGCAAATGGTTGTCTTAATCTCAATTTGTCTTTTGTGTGTGTTCCAGGAATGTGAGTAGCACCTTCTTTACATTATAATTATTAATGCTTAGTTAACATGATACATATTATAATATAAAATGCTGACATAATAAAAATGAAGTCTACAGGAACCAGAAAGATAATACAGAAAATATGGTACTGCCTTGAATGTAGTCAATCTGGGTCAATCCCTGGCACCCACATAATGCCCTGAGCCCAAAATCAGGACTAGAATGATCGCTAATTGCAAAATCTGGGGTGAGCCGAGTGTGGTCCACAAACAAAAGAAACAAATGAAACCTATACTTGGTGTCAAAATGTCCACTGTATATAGCCCCTGTTTTTCAGATATTTGATCAAACAACAAGATTCATTATATCAGAAATGTCTTATTAATTATTTAAAGAGAAATTTACAGTTACAAACTTTTCTTTTTCATAATTATTTGCAAAGCCAAGCAAAAGGGATATATGCATTTGGCTATTATATAATCTTAACCTTTAAAAAATTTTAAAAAATTTAATTGAATTACAGTGATGTATAAAGTTACAAAGATGCTCATTATTGGGTTTCAGTCATGAAATATTCCAACACCCATTCCTTCACCAGTGTACATTTCCCACCACCAATGCCCCCAGTTTCCTTTCCCTCCCACCTCTATGTAGGGCACTTTTCTTCTCTCTCTCTGTCTCTCTCTCTCACCTTTCTTTCTCTCTCTCTCTCTTATAGTTTACAATACAGATACTGGAAGGTTATCAGGTATAAGCTACTTTCAACACTCATCCAAACTGATCATTTCCATCTATTATTGCCCTACTGGTTCCTTCTCTATCCTAACTGCCCTTTGCCCCCCCAGACACTCCTGTGGTAAGCTTCCAATCATTGACCATACCAGCTGGCCAATGATTTATATATGTATATATATATATAATCATATACATATATACATATATGTGTATAAAATCTTAACTTTTAGTGCCAATAATTTTCAACTATCTAGTTTTCCCCCATATTGCTATCAAAATATCAAAGGATTTTCCAGGCCAAGACCACATTTTTTTTCATATTATTTACACAAATATGGTCATTCTTGGTTTAGAGGGACTGGCAAACACAATTTATGGGCAACTCTTACCGTAATTGCAGGTCCAGCAAAAGCCAAGCTAAGCAACATGAGAAAGGGAATTGCTTCCTGGGTGGGTTCAATATACGGCATGCTAAGACTCCGGTCATAGCAGCTAAATCCAGAATGCACAGGTTTGAAGACATCCGTGAGTTCAAGGAAGTACAGACTGACCACCGATGATGCCAAAATAGGCAACTGAGAACAAAGGACAAAGATGTTCAGTTTATCGTATGCATGGATTCAGTTACGAATGAGAATTCTTTCCCCTTCTCTCATCATGCCTCTCTTGTTTCAGAATAGTAATCATTCATAGATATTATTACTTCTTCCTTTAAAATGTATTTTCAGTTTATTCACTGTTTCCACAGTCTACAATGAGCTCATGCCTCCTTCACCTTTGCTCTTGGGTTAATTCCTAACTGATGTTCTACTTTCACCCTCTCCCACACCCCATCCATTTTCTCATCTTTTTTCCACTGGGCACTTGAAAATATTTTAGATCAATTCACTAGCTATCATATGGCAGTCCTGGTTGCCATTCTGCTTGAATAAACTTCAAATACCACAACAAGGAGTTTGAGGTTTCTACAGAATCTGGCACTTATTTCAGCTTCTTACATCTTCTCATATAACATTCACACCACACCCCAGACACTCACCACCACAATTCTATTGGTATTCACTCTATTTTATTGATATATAATTGACACATAACATTGATTCTATCTGTAAAATATAATGATTATTTAATTGCATACATTATTAAATGACCAACCCTTAGCCTAGTTTCTATCTGTTTCCACATAGTTACAATTTTCTTGAAAACTGAAAATCTACTTTCTTAGCAACTTTTAAATATACATCATGGATTTATTATTATTTATAGTTAACATACTCCATATTATTTTCTATGATTTATTTAACTTGCACTTGAAAATCTGTACCTTTTGATTCTCTTCATCCATTTTGCCCATCCTATTCTTTTGCCTTAATCACTCACCAATCTGTTTCCTGTATTTGTGTTTGTTGTTGTTGGTTTATTATGGTGATTTTTTTCATTTCCCATCTAAGTGAAATTAATTTGACATTGTCTTCCTGTTTTGCATGTAGATATTTCTCCCTCAAAGAATTCAAAGTACATAAAAATCTCCAGGGCTCAGTGTGCTGAGTTCATGCTTTCTATGAATGCAAGAGTTTGAATCCCAGACATATTTGATTCCCCGACATATACAGTTTCCCTGAGCAACATCAGGAGTATTTCCTAAATAAATGCTGAGAGTAGCCCCTTAATGCTGCTGAGCCTGACTCTCAAACTATAACCCAGTCAATCAAACAAAAACAAGCCTTACATTTCTCTTAATTTGATCACTCCAAATAGCTGATCATTTTTCCTCACCACTTCTTTCTTCAGGAATGCAATAATAGCAACTCTCAGTCATAACCAATTAATCAATACTTCATAGTGCAAAATTGAGAATCTCTCATTATATCCAATTTGGTATTTTTGTTTTAATTTAACATATATTTCATGTAATATTTTACATTGAATTTTATTTTATATATTTTAATTAAAGTTGTTTGCTTATCTTTCTATTACGATGTAAGACATGCTATTATTAACTATCTTTTGCAGGTGACTACATTTAGTTTACTTTAGTCAGTGGCAATGGCTGATTCTCAACCCAGAAATTATAGCTCACATATCATAATTATTTTTCTACTATTTCTTTCCAAGATGGTAATAGTGTTTTAGGATAATGAAATACAACCACATTAATTTATAGTATTGATTGGCAAAACTACTATGTTCCATTTGGAAATTTTTAATCAAACTATGTATCACCTAGCATGAATAAGTTTGATCTTAAAATATGGTGTTCATAAATTCATAAAAGTTTTTCCTAAATAATTTTAATGTAAATAATTTTAAATATTTTAAATATTTCAATAATTTTAGAATATTTCAAATTTAAATTTGATTTAATGATCCCCTTCTTTCGGCTTTGATTTGTTTACTTTGCATTTTAGGTCTTTGGGTTTTTTTTTATAAACAACAACAGTAACAACACAAAAAACAACAAAAACAAAAAAAAATGAGGAGCATAAAATGAGGCTCCTATAACTATGCCACTTGGACTTTGAGACCTCAAGCTCCAGAACTTTGAGTTACCTCACTGACACTTGAGTGACTAATTTCTAAATGCTTGAACCTTTGATAAGTGAGTTTGATGATGTCTGCAGAAAGATAAAACATACCAACATATGTAATCTAAAAATTAAGTAAATATTCCCTGTACTATTCACCCCTGAATTTGGAGGTGATGGAATTAGAATTAAGTATTAGATTACATTAGAATGAAAAATCCTAATTTTTAGATACATTAGTGTTGGATATTAACCCTAAGTGTTTTAGGCTTCACTGGTGAGTTGCTCCTTTTCCTCCTCCCAGAGAAGCTTGATATGCCCTAGTTAGCATCCCTAATTTAGTTAAAGTTTATTTTTAACCTTTCCTTTGTGTTGGATATTACCCCTAAGTGTTTTAGGCTTCATCTGTGAATTGCCCCCTTTCTTCTTCCCAGAGAAGCCTACCATGCTCTTGTTAGCATCCCTAATTTAGTTAGTCTATCTTTAACCTTTCCTTTGTATTTTACCTCTTATTGTCTCAGTTCCCCAAGTCTGTCTTGATTACTTATAAACCAAAACTTTCTGGTAATTCTGGACTTTATATTTGTAGAGGTTTGTATCTTAAGTGCTGTGTGTTTATACCTGTTTTTCTATTTCCTTATAGCTTTTTTACGCCAAACACAGTAACAACAAGGTCTCCAATGGAGATGTTACTGGGCCCGCTCGAGCAAATCGATGAACAATGGGAGGACAGTGACAGTGACAGTGACTATAGAGCAATGATTTTTGGTGAAACATTAGATTTTGTTCAATTTTAATGAAGATATAAACATGGAATGAAATCACTATTCCTACTGAGTTTGAACCTCTGTGTGTGTGTGTGTGTGTGTGTGTGTGTGTGTGTGTGTGTAGGACACTATACGTTTTTAGATAGTGGAGAAAATACTGTATAAGTTCTTCCACTTACTACCACCAGTGTGAACTTAGAAATGAACTATTGATAATGATATCATCAAATATAACTTATTTCATAATGCCATACTTTATCATATTTTCTGAAACCAGTTTCCTCACTTTCAATTCCCTTGTACTTCTTTTTAAGAAATTACTATTTTATACTGTGGTTAACTGCTTTTCTATGGTTAACTGTTTTAGACTATTTATAGCCATTTTTCTCTTTGTGAAATAAAAAAAAACTTTAGGTAGCAGTATAATTTTATTTTATTTTATTTTATAATATAATTTTATTCATTTTAGATATGGCCAAAACAGTAACAACAAGTCTCACTTTGTGTTCCTGGGGCAAGCAGACACCACTGTACAGTAGCACGGGACACAGAGGAATGGAAACATTACTGGTGCCTGCCTGATGGGATAACAGTGCAGTGCTATAATTTTCATCTTAGTTTGTTCTGTCATTAGCATTCTTGAAGCTGTCAGGCTTTCCAGTTTTAGCATTTTTTATTCATGTGTTTAATTGTCTTCAACTTTATGTTTTAAAACTTCTATTTGTTTTTAAAATAGTAATCACACTATTTTCCCTTTTCCTTTTGATGCCTCTTCCCTGACTTCTTTCTCTCTCTTTTTTAAAAAACAATGCCTAGGGAGTCTGAGGCCATGCTCAGTGCTTGGGCCTGATGACACAATTTGCTGTTCAGATCTAGGAAGACTGAGGCCACCAGGGCCTGCCCAGGCAGTATTCACGGGTCACAGCTGGAGGCCCACCCCGACTGTACCCAGTGGTGTTCCGGTAATTCTTTGATTTGAAAGCATTTCTTACCCTTCATCTCTTAATTTATCTCTTACATCATTTTGTTTTTGGAAATAATTATTTGACCAAAATAGTTGTATTGGGAAAAAAACAGTAATTTTATGCATTGCTTGCCTATGCTGTATTTTACTTCCAGACAGTATAATAAGTTAAATTACAATGTTTACTTCGAATTTACTTGGCCTTGAAGGTATCTTCTGAAGTGCTCAGCAACAGAACTTTCTTTTTAAAGTAAGACGTTTACCAGTTCTATGTGCTAGTTTTGGTATAAATAGAGAATTGATATAAACATAATAAAATTATAGGCATCTTTTGATTGCATTTAAAATAAGACTTTAGAAGAAATTTTGAAAGTTCTATATAATAAGATATCAGGAATTCTTTTCAGTAGTCAAGAAAAATTTTATGCACTATTAGAGGAATGAGATTACGTAAGGATTAAGGAAACTTTTCAGAAAGAAAAGATTGAGTCTTCTTACCATCTGTTAAGGAACTTGTAAGAACAAATAATAGAGCTATATTTAAAGAAAAAAATGTTAGCAGTTAGAGCAGATAGGGCCAACAAAAGAAATGTGCTTCAAAAGATTACATTTGCAATATAATGTTGAAACCTCTCGTGCACATTAAAAAAGTAAAGTCTACATTAGATAGTAATTTAAATGAGACATTATAGGCAGTCTATCATAGGTGACTTATTTCCTTTTAGCATGTTGACAATAAGAACACACTTTACTTCTCGATTGAATGGTTTCACTTTAAAACCTAGCCAGAGTGGTACCTGTATGTTCCCTTTTTCTCTTTTGTCACAGACAGTACAAATCAGAGTTCTCTGAGATCTTATTAATTTGGTGAGACTCTGGTAAGAAAATTTAATTAACACATAGGATACTAATTGTCAATTGATTTGCTCAACATATATTTACTGAGAGTCCACTAGGGCTACACATTGTTCTATGTTGTGATAAATCCAGGTCCTTATCTTCATAAAATTTTCCTTCTTTAGCTTCTGCACCCCAAAAGAAACAGTGACCAAAATACAGTCTACAGAATGGGAAAGAATATTCACCCAATACCCATCTGATGAGGGGTTGATATCAAGAATATACAAGGCACTGGTTGAACTCTACAAGAAGAAAACATCTAACATCATCAAAAAATGGGGTGATTAAATGAACAGAAAAATTCTCAAAGAAGAAATCCAAATGGCTAAAAGGCACACGAGAAAATGCGCTACATCACTAATCATCAGGGAGATCCAGATCAAAACAACAATGAGATATCATTTTGCACCACAGAGACT